GGCAGGGAGATCTTAGAAAAATATTTGATGAACCGCCTGTAGAGCCATGCATGGCCTAAAAAGCTCCGGATCCCCTTAACAGATTTAGGAGGAGGCAGCTTGCTGATAGTCTCGATCTTTGCTCTGTCCACCTCAATCCCCATCTTGGAGATTTTATGCCCCAGAACTATGCCTTCGCGAACCATGAAGTGGCACTTCTCCCAACTCACTGTCAGGTTCATTTCTTCACACTATTTAAGGACGAGTTCCAGGTTATGGAGACAGTGAGAGAATGAGTCTCCATAAACCGAGAAGTCGTCCATAAACACCTCCATAATCTCGCCGACTAGACGGTCAAAGATGGCAAGCATGCATCGATGATAAGTGGCGAGTTCTACTGTTTCCGACCAGTCGCCACTTATCAGCGATGCATGCTTGCCATCCAGGAAACAGTAGAACTCGTGCCCCGCCAGTCTCTCCAGCATCTGGTCAATGAACGGCAGCGGGAAGTGGTCCTTCCGAGTGGCGTCGTTGAGACGCCGATAATCAATGCAGACATGGTACCCAGTCACCATGCGCATCGGGATGAGCTCATTCTTCTCGTTAGGCACCACGGTCATCCCACCCTTTTTGGGCACCACCTGGGTGGGATTGACCCACTCGCTGCCGGAAATGGCGAAGATGATCCCCGCGTCCATCAGCTTCACGATCTCTGCCCGAACCACAGCCTCCAGGTTCGGTGTCAGTCTTCTCTGCGGCTGTCTCACTAGCCGCATCTCATCCTCCAGCAGTATCCGGTGGGAGCAAAAGGAGGGACTGATCCCCCGGATATCTGTGATCTTCCATGCTAGAGCACGCTCGTGCCGCTTCAGCAAGGCCACCAGTCTGTCCTTCTGCTCGGGTGTGAGGGTCGAGCTGATGATGACTGGAAGCTTATTCCCCTCCTGGAGAAATGCATACTCCAAATAAGGAGGGAGGGGCTTTAGCTCCAGCTCTGGTGGTTCCTCCAAGGAGGTAGTGATGCGGGGTGAGGATGAGATCGGTTTGAACAACCTGTCGCCCTCCAGGAATGGGCCACTCTCCAGCGCGGCCAACTGCTCCGCCAGCTGCGGCTCCTGCGATGCCTGCTCACCTAGCAAAATACAACGCTCAAGAGCATCTTCAGTACCCGCACTCGTTATATCAAGCACATCACAGTAATCTACGTGATCATGCAAATGGGAGTGTTTCCCATTCTCAGACACAGAAAAAGTAGCCTGTTCATCACCAGCACGCATGATCAATTTACCACTATGCACATCAATAAGCACCTTGGCGGTGGCAAGAAACGGTCTACCCAAAATCAAAGGTACAGCCACATCCTCATTTATATCCAGAATAACAAAGTGAACAGGATATGTAAATGCACCTACATTAACAAGCAGATCCTCAATGATACCCCTAGAATGCACGATGGAACGATCAGCTAACTGAATGCTCATTCTAGTAGCTCTAGGTTCACCTAGGTCTAGCTTTTTAAACAATTTGTAGGGCATGACATTTATGCTAACACCTAGGTCCGCCAAGGACTTTCCTACATGCATGGTGCCAATAACAAGAGGGATAGTGAAACTCCCTGGGTCTTTACTCTTCTCGGAAGCTTGTTCTGCAGGATAGCAGAACACTACTCGCTCTGCATCACTGTCGAAAGATCCCCAAGTTTCTTCTTGTTGGTGAGGTGGTCCTTCATGAACTTGGCGTACTTGGGCATCTTCGACAGTGCCTCCACGAACGGCATGCTGATGTTGACCTGCTTTAACATTGCTATTAACTTGGCAAACTCAGTCTCCAGCTTGTCTCTATGTAGGCGAGTGGGGAAGGGAAGCTGGGGTACGTGCTCCTTAACCACTGGTTGTGGCTTGGGATCCGGTGCTTCTTTGTCCATCCCCACTTCTGCATTGTCAGCTGGAAGTGTTGAAGCAGGTAGTGGCTCGTCCTGCCTGGGCTGGGCAGGAGCAGCAGATGTGGTCTTGCCACTCCTGGTAGTGATGGCATCCAGCTACTGGTGCTGGTGAGGCTCACAAGGATTCGGAATAGTGGTGGCAGGCAGAGTCCCCGGTGCCCTGGTAGTATTTTGGCGCGATATGCTACCCATCTGGTTCTGTAAATCTTGCAAAATGGCACCTTGGTTCCTCTGGCCTGCCTCCAGTGAGGCTATGTTCCGGTCCATCCTCGTGAAATTCGCATGGCTGGTAGTCATGAGTGCCGCTAGAATGTTTTTCAGCTCCGTAATCTGATTATCTGGAGCCAGAGCTGTTGCTGGCTCGACGTACTGACGCTAGGGCTGCTGGAATGATTGCCCCTGCCTAGGCTGGTAGGGCTGCTGTTGTGGGGCTGACCCCTGCCTAGCCTGGAAAGGCTGCCTCTGCTGAAAACCACCAGCTGGTGCTGGGAAACCAGGTGGTTTAGTGGTGTTGCTATTCCAAGAGAAATTGGGATGTTGGCGCCACCCCTCATTGTATGTATTGTTGTACGGGTCGAGGTGCCGAGCATTAGCGATGAAGTCCAACTGCTCTTGGGGAGTCAGAAGACTCCCGCATAGCCTGGAAGTCTTCCACCAGATGATTTGAGCTCTCACACCACTGACATTGAGCTACTGGAGGTGTAGCCAAACCTCTGCCCGGAATAAGACTGTTGGGCTGCTTCAATGTCTGCACTAACTCGGCCACCTACTGCTCGAGCCCGGACCTGGCCTCCATGGCGTGCACACCATGATCCCGGGAATTCCTGCCTCTGGTGCTCTGCCCCCAGGAATGATCTCTAGCAGCCAAGGTACTAATCATCTGGTTTAGTTCGGGTGGAGTCTGAGTAAGAATATCCCCTTCTGGGCATAGAGACTCAATCACCCTCAGGCTGTCCGGGGAGAGAGCACTGTAGAAGTTCCCCACGGTGAATGCATCACTGAAGCCATGATGGGGGCACTGCCAAAAATATCCAATGTACCGCTCCCATGCATCACGAAGTGACTCGTCTGGCTCTTGGCGGAAGTGAATGATCTCCCGCAGGATCTTTGTGGTCTTCGATGCTGGATAGTACCTGTGCACGAACTTGTCGGCCAGATCGTCCCAAGAAGGGATGGACAATGGGGGCTGGGTCTCCAACCACCTCTTAGCATTCCCCGCCAGAGAATGGGGGAAGAGGTGAAGGCGGATTGCGTCATCAGGGACACTGTTTAGCTTGAACCCGTTCGTCAGCTGCAGAAAACGGGAAAGGTGCACCCTTGCCTCCTCATCCTTCAAGCCATGAAACTGGATAGAGGATGTAATGAGTTGAATCCAGCATGTCTTGATCTCGAAGTTGTTCGCTGGAATGGGCGGGTAGAGGATGACAGGGCGGATATCAGCAATCCGTGGAGTGTAGTAGTACTCCAAGGTGGGACCCGGTGGTGGTGGTTGATGATGAACCCCATCTGCCTGGGGTATGGGGTTGTTCCCCAAGATCTGATTCACCGGGGGAACCTGGAGAGGATTCCCCTGGTGTGGGTTGTGTTTGCCTTCCATCTCGTACTCTTCTTCAGAATCGCTGCTCAAGTGGTCGTCTATGCGCTCGACCGTAGCCAGTCTAGCTCGGTGTTGTCTCCTGATTTGGCGACAGGTGCGTTCAAGCTCCGGATCCAACGGCATTAAACCTCACAACTGGCTACGGGTCATGCACTACCTGCACACAGTCAAGCAAGCAAACGTGAAGGCACAAGTGTGATAAAGCCAACAATGCTAAAACGAAAAGCTAAATTAACAGAATTCACGTTTCTGCAAAACCCTAATAATCCCCTGCAACGGCGCCAAAAACTTGACTCGTTCCTACTGTCACTCTAGGAAATGGCCAAGTGTAACCACTTCCTAAAGCGTAGTATAGGGGGTTTGGGTGTTAATGTCAACCCGGGTCCTAGATGTGATGACTACTCAGCGAATTCTTATTATTTAGCGGTGAAACTTTAGTGCAGGTTCAAACAAGCAAACTAGCAAGCAATTAAACGGCTGTTTTCAAGTCGAGAGAGGTCACCCGGATATGGTTCCCCCTAGACTGCGGTTAAGCCGGATTGTAATTTACCAAGTTCAGTTTTAATGATAGTTATACTGCGGAAGATTCTTAAACAGTCTGAAGTCTCGACTAAAGGTCTCCAGACCCTCTCAATCTTAGTCTCCAGTGGGCGACTAACCCCCACACTTAACCGTTTGCTTGTCCCCAAGCAAACCTAGCTCAAACCAATGCAGCTCTCCAGACCTCTATAGCAACATGCACCCTCGATCGTTGATAGAGAATTTTCTAGATCATTTAGCAGCTTACGAGGTCAACCGACGCACAAGTCATCTCATAGCTTCTTCGGCGAGAACGCTAGTCTCGAGTCGGCATAATGGCAAATAGTGATCTGAGGACAAATGAATCGTGGACGAATGGACTCTGAAAAACAAAAGATCATGAACTCGCATTTTTAAGGTGCTCTATTTTCTTCTTGAAGATGGTTGGAGCCCCTTTTCTTTCTTTGTTTTCCCTTGTTTTTCTGTTTTTCTGTTTTTTTTTTCTTTTCAAGGGTTCCAACCTGTTCTTCAAAAAAAATGGGGGGCTCCCACCTAGTAGAGGTTTTGCGGGAGCCCGGCTTTTACCGGCCATGCCAGGAGCGGATGTCTCGAGCCTCGTGCGGGGGAAAGATATGTAAGGGGGCTGGAGCAAGGTTGTCAAACCGGATTAAGCCATCAAGCCGGTTTGGCAAGGGGTTTGGGGTTTAATGGTTGGATCGGGGTTCAACCGGATTAAGCCGGTTTTGACGGGATATGTAGATAGGGGATATTGAGAAGTCATTGTCCGATTCCATCAGGTATAATTTGCAGAACCATTAACATAACATAAATACAATTCCGCCCACAACATACAATTATCCATCCAACTTCCCCGTTTTTCACTTCAATGATCAATCCAAAAACAAATTACCTAAAATTTCAATCCGCCCACAGAACACCAATCACACACCAATCCCTAGATTAGCACCATTCATAAAATGATAAAATCATTCAATCGAAGGAGGAAGATAGGGAACATAGCAGATCTTGCTATTTTGGGAGAAGGAAAGACGCGGAGCAACGCCGATGTTATGTGCAACCAGCGATGAGCTGTGAAGTCGACCGGGTAGCTGCGAAAGACGACGGAGGGAAGCTGAGGAAGACGAAGTCCCTCCAGAAAGTGGTCTGCGACCGAGGTGCGGCGGGCTGGGGAGCTGCAACGCGAGAGGAGAGAGGACGGTGGGAGCAGAGGCTGCTTCGCCTGGCGGTTGCTTCGTCGGCGGCTTCTTCGCCTGCTTCGAAGATGAGTGGGAGAGGCGGAGAGTTGTCAAACTCGACAGGGTTAGGTGGCCTCCTTAGGGTTAGGCAGCGTTGGGCAATTTATGGCCATGAAAATGGCGTCGTTCCAACAAAAGTCGGAAGCCGCTGAAACCGGCCGGACCCCGGGTTTTACCGGTTTTGACCGATTTTTCCCGGTTTTTACCGGCTACCGGCTAGCTGTGGAATATGGCTGGCTAGAGCCGTTTTAATGCCCGGTTCCCATCAAACCCGGTTGAACTGGCCGGCCGAAAAGGGGTTTGACAACCTTGGGCTGGAGGTAGTAGGTGGAAATTGGGAACAGATTCCCGTCTCCCCTTACACACTTTTGCCCTATTCGCACGGGAGACGTTATTTTAAAGCACATTTTTTAGCACCTTTTTATTTCAAAACATGATACAGGAGTCCATGACAGGTAGAGAGTCCACATCACCACACAATTCAAGGGTCCTAAGATCACTAATTCACACAATCAACCAACACAATATGAAGAAGAAACGAGACTTCTTAAATGCATCAACAGCCTCCATAGTGCTACACTACCTCCCTAGGTTGCACATTACTATAGAGACTGTCAATTCAAAGCATACTGAGCAGGCAATTGCAAGGAACACGTACTTGGAGCCCTCAAATTGAAATTTGGACAGTGGACTAGGCTCCAAGCACACAAACAGTCAAACATTCACACGAATACATATTCGAACATCCCCCCACACTTAAGCACAACATTGTCCTCAATGGAGGAAAGATAAGGAGGGTAGAACGAAGTTACCATATCAAGGGTGAATGATGGTGGACGAGGCAGGTGGTGCATTCCAGGAGAAGAGAGTGGTCAGAACACAAACACCACACAGAATCTCACAAAGGTGGAGTTATTGACTCTAAAATCAAATAAAAAAAATTGACTCAATCGAAGAGAAATAGGGAAAGAAATGCAAACCGACTGGTTGGGTTGCCTCCCAACAAGCACTTCTTTCACGTCGTGAGCCGGACGATGGCTCCTAAGTTTCGGTCCACCCCAAAACCTCCTTGAAGTTGAGGTTCTCGTCAATGAGGTGGAGTCTCAAGTCACGAGCATGTGGTATGACAGGTGATGGAAGCTCGTGCACTTGATGCAGATGAAGTCTCCACCCTCGAGACCTCTTCCTTTCTTCTCTCGTCTCATTGCCCCGAACCAGATATGACAGCATCGATTGGCCACCATCGCGTCCAACAAGAGGGACCGATGTTGATATGGCCTTGGTCTGGCAAAGAGACACTGCAAATGGGTCCTTGCTAAGCAGTTCCTCGAAGTCTGGTGGAGATATCACATGTAACTCATGGCCGGTGCAGGCCTCTTCCACTTTAACTCCGTCCTCAGCCTGGACACCAATTGCTTCTTCAACCTCCCTTTCTTCTTCATGTGGTATCACCCCTGGGAAATGATCAAGAACTCTTTCTGCTTCACTTTCGTCATCCTCCACAACTTCTTTCCGCACCCTTTCTTGCTCTTCTTCTTCTAGCACGGATTGGAGAGCAAGCTGCCAAGCAATTTCTTTCATGAGATCTTCTTGCATTTCCTCACTCATGCCCGCCTCTTCAAAGCTCAGTTTGGGATGTGGGAAGGTGTGGTCGGCTTTGAAAGGACATTCCTGATCATGATCATCATGGGAGCTCTCTGTGACATCTTTAGTGTGCTCCACTATGTCCTTGTAGCCTTCTTCTTCCTCCTCCTCTTCTAGTATGGTAGCAGAAGGGTGATCTGGAGAAGGTTGTGCACAAGATCGCTCAAGATCATCGATGCTCTTCTTAAGGCTCAGGAGGATCTCCTCTGTTTCATGATAGGCCTGGACACAATGATCCATCCTGGAGCATGTTCTCTCACTGTCTCGAGCAAACTGTTCCATGATAAGCCTCAATCCATAGTTTGGATCTGGCTGTGGAGTGTAGCATGGCTCTGCAGAATGGCCCGTGAAGGCCGCCATGGGTAACTCCAGCGCCGATGGCCCTTCTGGTTGTGGGAGAAATTCTTCTTGGTAATGAGGTTGTTCTTGATATGCCCAGGGGTACGGTTGTTCTCCGTAGTAAGGGGGTTGGTACTGGAACCCGAATCCATAGTCTTCTCCTCCTTGATTGCTCCAGGGAGTCTCGGGGTAATACCACTCGGGTGGTGGTGGATACCCCCAATTGTTGGAGAAGCCATGAGGATCCATGATTCAGATCTGCACCAACAAAAACAAAAACACCCAAGTGAAGAGCAAGGGTGGAAAAGAAAAGAAAAGAAAAATGCTAAAGTAACAAACTTCTGCCTTTCCTAATACTCTAGAAAGTCCCCGGCAACGGAGCGAAAAACTTGACTCGCTACGACACAACTCCTAACAAAGGCCAAGTGTAACCAATGAAAGGGACTGCAACATAGTGGCTCAAGTAATAAATTTCGAATCCACTGGTCTCTAGAGTTACTATTACTCAGCTTCAGTTCATTATCTAGCAAACCAGATTAAGATGAAAGAACTAAAACTACTCTATCAAACTATAGTTAAAGTTAATCTAATTACAGGTTGGGAACTCACTTATGTATGATTCCCCCTAGCCACTAGCCAGATTAATGATTGATGATCTCTAACCTGTTTCACTTTCATTCACAATGCGGAGAATCCTTAACTAGACCTTGAGTCTCGACTAAAGGACCAAGGTCCTCTTGAGTCAATTGCCTAGAGGGATGTATCCTTCTCTAGAACAACCGATCAAGGCGTTCTGAACTAGACTCCCTCTATCGAAAGAGGTTCTCAATCGATACAAAGCAATGAATCGACCCTCGACTAAAGCAATAGATCCAATACTATCAATCTATGGTGCTCTATTGACCTAATCAGGTATTCGCTCTCATAGGATCAAAGCAGAATCAATAATCTCGACTAAAGCAGAATTGAATCATGAAAACGTGCATAGATTGAATATGAACTCAAGATTATCAAGTATGAGTACTCATACAATCATCCAATCAAACAAACATAGCTAGGGTTCCTCGAAACCTAAGTGAAGGGGAGTTACTCCATAGAGAAGAGAGAGACTGCAGTAAGAATCTTCAAATGATCAGTCTTCAAGTCCGGGCTTGTTCCTCGAGCTTCCAAGGCGAAGAAATCCTCCAATTCCACTCTTAGAATGCCCTCAAATCGCTCTCTCTTTCTTTGGTTTGTCCCTTGGGTGTTTAGGATCCAAAACCCAGCTCTCCCTTGCAAAAACGCACAAAACAGGCTTTTAACAGCCTGAGTTCGCGATCCCCGGTCATAATACCCGGTCGGGTATTTTAGGTGGAGACCGGGTATCTTTAAAATGCACCGTTGGGGACAGGGGAAAATCCCCGGTCAAGGCCAAAAATCCCCTACCGGGGATTTTAGCGTCATGATAGGGCCCCCTTCTGTTTCTCAGAGAAGCCCAAAACCAATTTTCCCCGGTCTGCTCCAAATAATACCCGGTCGGGTATTTTTGCCCATGGCCGGGTATTTTGCTGTTCCGGGTCCCCTATCTTTGATTCTTCGTTTCTCCCTCGTTCGCACTCCAAATCAGGTGTCGTTTGATCCCAGACGCTCGTAGTCTCGTCCTCTTTCTTCTCATGACAAGATTACATGATTATATGGTCACAAACTGAGGTAGAAATCCATTCTTCTTCAAGCCATACCCGAGTTTTTTCCCCCGAGTCGCCAATTGATCTCCGATTGACTTGAAACTTGCGCCAACGCTTCACTTTATGTTCTAGGACCTGAAATGTGACAAAGGAACACAACCTAGCATAAAATAGGCCAAAGAAGCGATAATGCAAGCTTAAATGATCAAGAAACAAAAGGGAAAACATGTGCAAATATCGAGTCATCATTTACCAAGTTCAGTTTTAATGATAGTTATACTGCGGGAGGTTCTTAAACAGTCTGAAGTCTCGACTAAAGGTCTCCAGACCCTCTCAATCTGAGTCTTCAACGGGCGACTAACCTCCACCGGAGTAAAAAGATTGAGGCCCTAACAAACAAAACCCCCACTACCGAAGTAACTTCGGTACATAATAGTAAATTGGCTCCTCGACTAAAGTCGCCAATTCACCACCTTCAATCAAGGGTGCTCTATCAATCTAGGCAGATATTCTCTTTCTAGGTTAAAGCACAAACAACAGAAATTTGATCAGGATTCATGCCATTCAATAAATCAAACCTCAATTGAATATAATCAAATCATAGAATTTTTACTTGGGTTCATACAATCAGACCTAACATACAAATCTAGGGTTCTCTATACCCAGATGAATGAGGGAGTTACTCCATGGAGAGAGGAGCAAAAGCAAGCTCAGATGCAGAAATCATGCTGTAAAGGATGGGTTTCTGCTCCTGGTCATCAATCGGCACTTCTCCAAGTCTTAGCCGAGCTCCAATGGTGATGAAGATCAAGCTAGGGCACTTGGGAACTCTGGTTTGTCACTTTCTCTCTCTAGGAATCACTCTGTCCCTCTAAAACTCGGAACCCCTTCTCCTTTGCTGCAAATTGGGTTAAAAACTCAGAAATTCACGACTCACATGGCCGTGTGACATCCCCAGCTTCCCGTGTGAGATGTGCAAACCGCGGCGTTTTGATAAGTAACTCATGCTTCCTGCACGGCCACGACCCACACGGCCGTGTGGAATTCCAGGATGGCCGTGTGAGTTCCCTGGAATTTCCACACGGCCACAGGGGGTCCCCTACACGGCCCGTGTGACTTTGGCCGTGAAATTTGATGCCACACGGCCAGGACACACGGTCGTGTAGGTTTTAGGCGTGCCCGTGTGGCTCCATCAGCCTCCCGCCGAATGTTCAATCTTCGTCCAATCGACCCTGAACTCGTTCCTAAACCTTCATTCACGTACTAGGACCTGAAATATCACAAACAAGAACAACCTAGCGTTAAATCAGCCTAAAATGCGAGAATCGACATCTCAAACGGTGCAAGAATAGGGGTAAAAACATGTGTAATTAACGGTCTATCAGTTATCGGTTTTAATCGATATCCGACTAACCATTTATCAACCCTACTCTTACTAAAGAAAGAACAAACTGCTTCAGTCATAGAGTCACCAACTATATCCCGAAAAGACTTGAAATTTTTTCCAGTGAACTCATCAGACCCAGGCGCTTGCTTTGATCCCATGGCGAAGACTGTTCGACAAATTTCACTAGGTAGGACGTCCGCAGTTAGACTAGCATTCATCTCATATGTTACTTTGCAGTCTATCGGTAGGTCTGCAATCCTAGCTTCCATGTTCAGAACATGATTCTCTGAAGTGAAGAGAGTTTGATAAAAATCAATGGCAATATCAGCCTTCCCTCTCTCCTTAGTGATCTATTCCCCATTATCATTCCGCAACGCAGACACAAAATTCTGTTTTCTGCGAGCCCTCGTAACTGTATGAAAGTATGATGTATTCTTGTCGCCCTTTATAAGCCAACAAACCCAAAACTTTTGTTGCCAATAGATTTCCTCTACTTCCCACTACCAACTCAACTCGGCCTCCAATGTCCTCACCTCATCCCAATTAATCGGGTGCACAAGTTTCACCTGATCAATTTCATATTGGAGAGACTTGATATTGCAAAGAGAATTAGTCGTACCTGCTCTACTCCAATCATATAACAAATAAAGGAGTTTTTTCAGCCTCTCCCAAAGCTAGTACATAGGATTCCTCGGGAAGAGGGGTCGGCTATGCCAGATGTAAGGCTTATCTTATAGGAGCAGAGCTCTGTGATCAGATCCATGATCCGTAAAATGTTTGACAAGGGTCTCCGGATATCGATCGTTCCAGGATTGGGAGCAGAGTGCTCTATCCAGTCTTTCACGGATACATACTGATCCCATACGTTTGTTCGTCAAAGTAAATTGATCATCTTGTTATCCGGGATCATGGAATCCTATGTCGTGAACAAAGTTTGTGGAGGTCTATGGACTGGGAAATATTCCAAGGATTACCCCAATCCTTTACATTTTCATGCAAAGTAACATTCAAATCACCTATTACCACAAAGGGTAAGTGGATTTCTTCACAAATTCTTCGAAGTTCAGCCAATTGATCGGATCTTATTGACAGCTAATATAACCACATACCACAGCATAAGAAAAATCCATTGCATTAATCTGAATACAAATGGAAAAATTCGAATGATGAAACACTAAAGTATCAACCCCGAGGGCCCAAGATACTACTAGACCTCCTGATACATTAATAGCATCTTCAAAGAAACAATGAGAAGAATCAAAACCTAAGTCCCTCATCCGACGGGCAACTACTCTCCGGTTTGGAATGTGTGGAATGAACTAATTCTACAGCAGTTTGCAATGAACTAATTCTACAGCAGTTTGGAATGTATGGGATTGTCCAATTTCTACAACGATTTGAAATGTGTGGGATGGTCCAATTTCCCGCACATTCTAGGCAAGAAACCTTATTTATTAATTTGGGGCTGATGACTCGATATTTTCACATGTTTTCCCCTTCGTTTCTTGATCGTTTAAGCTTTCATTATCGCTTCTTTGGCCTATTTTACGCTAGGTTGTATTCCTTTGTCACATTTCAGGTCTTAGCACATAAAGTGAAGTATAGGCACAAGTTTCAAGTCAATCTGAGATCAATTGGCGACTCGGGGGAAGGAACTCGGACATGACTTGAAGAAGAATGGATTTATACCTCATTTTTTGACCAGATAATCATGTAAGCTTGTCATTAGAAGAAATAGAGCGAGACGAAGAGCGCCTGGGATCAAACGGCACCTGATTTGGAGTCCGAACGACGGAGAAACGAACAATCAAAGATAGGGGACGCGGAACTGTAAAATACCCGGTCAAAATAGGGTATTTTGAGCATATGATAGGGTATTTTGATCAGAGTTCAGAAGGCCCCTTGATCGTGAACCAAAATACCTGACCGGGTATTTTCCCTTTTTGCCCAGAAAAGTGACCCGGAGCATTTTGTTGATACCCAACCGGTTCCCTAAATACCCGACCGGGTATTTGGACTGGGTTTCGCGAACTTGTGCTGTTAAAAGCCTGTGTTGTGCATTTTTTGAGGGGGAAGCTTGGTTTTGGATTCCAAACACCCAAGGGACGAACCAACAAGAGAGAGGGAAATTTTAAGGGCAATTTGAGGGCAATCTTGGAGTGGAATTGGAGGATTTCTTTGCCTTGTAAGCTCGAGGAACAAGCCCGGACTTGAAGACTGATCATCTGAAGATTCTTACTGCAATCTCTCTCTTCTCTATGTAGTAACTTCCCTTCACTTAGGTTGTGAGGAACCCTAGCCATGTTTGTTTGATTGGATGATTGTATGAGTACTCTTACTTGACAATCTTGAGTTCATATTCAATCTATGCATGTTTTCATGATTCAATTCTGCTATAGTCGAGATTATTGATCCTGCTTTGATCCTATGAGAGTGAATAACTAATTAGGTCAATAGAGCACCATATATTGATAGTATTGGATCGATTTCTTTAGTCGAGGGTCAATTCATTGCTTTGTATCGATTGGGAACCGCATTTGATAGAGGGAGTCTAGTTCAGAACGCCTTGATCGGTTGTTCTAGAGAAGGATACGTCCCTCTAGGCAATCGACTCAAGAGGGCCTTGATCCTTTAGTCGAGATTCAAGGTCTAGTCAAGGATTCTCTGCATTGTGAACAAAAGTGCAACAGGTTAGAGATCATCAATCATTAATCTGGCTAGTGGCTAGGGGGAATCATACCTAAGTGAGTTCCCAACCTATAATTAGATTAACTTTAATTGTAGTTTTCTATATTAGTTTTAGTTGTTCTATCTTAATCTGGTTTGCTAAATAATGAACTGAAGCTGAGTAATAGTAACTCCAGAGACCCCTGGATTCAATATTTATTACTTGAGCCACTATAGTGCAATCCCTTTCATTGGTTACACTTGGCCTTTGTTAGGAGTTGTGTTTTAGCGAGTCAGGGGCCATTTCGGGCTGGCTTCCTCCACCTCTGCAGCTTCATGCTTCTCCTCCACAAACTGCTTCTTTGGTGTGAAAAACTGTGACACAGCCCCCTCAACCTTTTGTAGTCCTCGTTTTCTCCCCCCCCCCCCCTCCCCCAATTTCTGGCTCCAGCATGTTCGAGCCATACTCATTGAGTTTGGACACCATTGCTCTTTCATCACTCATCATTTCTTCCAAATGCGTAGCGGTATCCAAGTTTGAGCTTGTGCCATTTGGATTTTTCCTGCCATCCTAGTTGAACATCAACCCTGATTCGGAGGCTTGCACGACCTCATGTACTTTTCCCGATATGGATTGGTGATTAACACCCCTCTCATGAATGCGGGCACGACTCTTTATTTCGAAGTTATTCTCTGCTCCCTCAGAAAGAGTGATCTCTGAATCCACCAGCCCATGGTCCTCCCAATGAGAGTCGAGAGTGCCAAAACCTAGTGTTGAAAAAGTACCTCCAGCCTCCTTAATGATTTCCACATTCCAATCAGCAGGTCCAGAAATAACCGCACCGACTTTCGCCTTGCCCTTTTTGTAAGCAACTCGTCGAGCATCTCCTTTACGATCAAGTTTAGTCGAGGTAAGGGGTGGCTGTGGTAGGTGATGCTTCCCCGTATTCGCAGCTAGACAATGATCGTTTTGGGGAGATAACACCTCCTTCAACTGGTGTTGTTTCCTTAGTGTGCCACGGCAGAAAACGACGATCTTCTTGCCTTCCTTTGAGATCCATGTGTGCAATCCTCATTCTGTGACCAATAGTGTCACAACGAAGACTGGGTTGCATGTAGGAAAATCGCGGGTACAGCTCCTCCTCGAAATCATCATCAGCGATCAGCTTTCTCCGCCTAGCTTGGTCCTGGGTGATTCCTACAGTGCTTCCCTTAGTTTGGTCACGAGGATTTGCACCCTTCTCCTCTTGGTGTCGCCGCGATACCCGCGTACCATTATTGAGCTCGTTGAGCTTAGGCTCTAGGTTGTGCTCTCTTATGCCCGACCTTGAAACCTGTCCCTGCCAACCTTAGCTGACCCCTCTCCACGTTACTTTTTTGCTGCCAGCTTACGCAAAAGACGCCCTCTAACAATCTTGGGAGATCACGTAACCGAGTACCCACGAGGGCTTTTTCTTCACGAAACTGTTCTCTCCGCCAAAGTGCCAGGAATAGAAGCTCCCTCACTTAGCTCAGCCTCATAAGTCATCTAAGTATGCGAGGGGAACCGTGTCTACTTGTTGGTACCTTGTCTCACCCTTTGTTTGGGATCACGGGATACCCTAAGCTCCTTGTTGATCCAAACAGAATTTTGGATCCCTTTAAAAGAGGGTTTTTCCTCCTCTTCATCATAAACCCTCTTTCCAAGCTTCTTAGTAGACATGTGCGGCCCGAACCATTCTTTACGGGAAGGGGGATCAAAAGTACAAGCTCTTTGCGAGTGACCCACCCTACCATAATGGAAGCAAAAGCTTGGGAGGTACTCCTATTTGAGACTAACCCAGAAGCACCATGTATCATTATTAGCTGCCATAAGTTGGGATCTCAGTGTTTTAGTGAAATCAATTAGGGCCCTGACCCTCACTAAAAACATGTTCGTCACTGGACGGGTGAACACTCCTGCATCCAAGACCTTTCCAATAGTGGCATTCACAACTTTCCTCCCGAACTGCTACGTGCAACAGTCACCTTTCACATCCCAAATTTGGACGCGGAATGGGACAATGGCGAGCTCCTCGAAGGTCCTCTTGGTAATATTGGGAATCCGCGTGTGAAGGTGAAGGATCTTGTCCATGATCACCCATAGCATGTTCTTCAAGATCCAAATTTTTAAATCCTCACTTGCGAGCACAAATTTGGATAAGCCATGTTTTGCGACTTCCACCCTAATACACCCCTTCCCCTGCCACAAAACATTGAAAGACTCTGAGTTCTGGTGTATTGATATGGTTATCGATGAAGAGCAGACCAAGCAATGTACGAGAGCTTCGTGGACTGGACTTCTTACAATAAAAATAGCACAGCTTGGTCCTCAGTCGCATGAGCCATCTTGGTTTCCTGCAAAGGGATAGTAGTAACAGAGTCATTAGGCACGGTTTGTGACTCTGGTAAAGAGTTTGTCGTCCCTGAAGGGCATTCAACTCTCGGACTCCCTTGTAAAGCCAAGTTGGGCAAGGCAGGTATCGCGGCCGAGAAAGAAGACTCGCATGATCAAAAAGGTTAAGAGGGGATTGACCTACATAGGTTAATTAGCCACTTACTTGAGCGGTAGCACTGCCTTGAAGGGAAGCTATATTCTCTAACGCCGGCCTTCGATCTCTTCGTTCATGTATTAGAAGAGAATTAGATGGGAGGAAGGTACTTAAATAGAGAAAAGAGTAGTATCCTTATCAAGGAGGGAGAGACGTATTCATCTAGGGCTCCGTTGAGTTCGAAAGAGAAAGGGATCAAACTGATAACGTCGTATTTGCACATGTTTGCACCCTCGTTTCTTGATCAATTTGGCTTGATTTTTTGATTTCTTGGACTATTTTACGCTAGGTTGTGTTCCTTTGTCACATTTCAGGTCCTAGCATGTAAAGTGAATCCTAGGCGCAATTTTCAAGTCAAGCGGAGATCAATTGGCTACTCGGGCTGAGAAACTCGGGAACGACTTGAGGAAGAATGGATTTATACCTCATTTTATTGAAAAATAATCATGAAATCTTATCATGAAAAGAAATAGGACAAGACTACGAGCATCTGGAATCAAACGGCACCTGAATCGGAGGTCAAACGAGCTCAAACGAGATCAACGAAGCTTAGGAGTGCATGCTGGAAATTGTGCACGGCCGTGTAAAATTCTGCACGGCCGTGTGAGTTTCCCATGGGGTTTGCACGGCTAAAACCTCAATTTGGACGGCCGTGCAAGTAGGGGGTGAGCGTTTCAGCGGGTATAAAAGCTGTTTTGCGATTTTTGGAGAGAGAGAGCTGGGTTTTGGATCCCAAACACCCAAGGGACGAACCCTAGAGAGAGAGAGAGAGAGAGAGAGCGACTTGGGATCATTCTTGGAGCTATTTTGGAGGATTTCTTCATCATCGGAGCTCGAGAATCAATCTTGGAGATGAAGATTGAAGATCTATATAAGATTTATGCATTCTCTCTCTTCTCTATGAAGTAACTTCCCTTCACTTAGGTTTTGAGGAACCCTAGTTCCATGCATTAGGATCTTTCTTGTATGAATTTTTGGATCCTATATTGTGTGATTATAATCAATTGAGGTATGATTTATTGAGTCAATTGAATCCTGGTCAAATTCTATTGATTTCTGTTTTAACCTTTGATAGATAGAATCTTATTAGGCTAAGAGAGCTTCCATGATTGATAGTAGTGAATTGGTTATGCGAGAGTCAGTCAATTCACTGCTATGTACTGGAATTCATTCCAGTAGTAGAGATCTGTGTGAATCGCCTAAGCAGTCTATCCCGGTGAAGGCTAGTCGCCTACCGGGTATTCTATCTAAGAGGGTTTGGTCAGCTTAAGAGCTTTCAAGCTAATTTAGGATCTTCCGCAGTTTAATCAACAGTAGATCAACCAAAGGTAATTACAACTTAGACATAATTGAGGAGCTAGGGGGAATCATACCTAAGTGAGTTCCCAACTTGTAATTAGTAGTTTAGCTTGTCAGCTTAAGAGCTTTCAAGCTAATTTAGGATCTTCCGCAGTTTAATCAACAGTAGATCAACCAAAGGTAATTACAACTTAGACATAATTGATGAGCTAGGGGGAATCATACCTAAGTGAGTTCCCAACTTGTAATTAGTAGTTTAGCTTAGCTTAGTTAGTAGACTAGTTTAGTAAATCAATCATTAATCTGGTTTGCTAGATAATGAACTGAAGCTGAGTAATAGTAACTCTAGAGACCCGTGGATTCGGTATTTATTACTTGTGCCACTATACTGCAGTCCCTTTCATTGATTACACTTGGCCATTGTTAGGAGTTGTGTCGTAGCGTGTCACAAACTAACTTTCTTTTTATAGTTAATATCCTTATCAGGAATCATATGGTTAAAAACCACACATAACCAGGGTGTATATTGCAGGATTTTTATCTTTTCGATGGACAAGCTATCATCGGCTCATCTACCCCAAGTCCGACATCCGATAGTGGTCGATACATTATCGGGAAATTCCCAGTCCGTCATCGGTAACGTATCCCCAAGACTTAGGTTTTTACATCTTCCCCTTTGCATCATTAGGGAGTCCTGTTGCGATGGATCCAGACGAGACCAAGTAGAGGGGGGTCCTAGTCAGATCATTTCGATCCGAGTTTGTGTAGGAGGGAGAAGGGGATTTCTCTCCTCTTCCATTGTCCACTTCAATCGATGAAGACAGCTTAAAGCGCCACATCTCCTTCATAGACGATTTCAGTTGTTTGAGACTTCAGTCATTCAACAGAGCAAATTCAGCAGGGATATACCCTAGCTTCCTTTTCTTGTCCCAAGATCTGGACCTTCTATTTCCCTGTAAGATTTGAGTATAGCTACGACCTGTCTCTTGCCTCGCCGGGTTATTTGATTTCAGAAACCTCACCACCGGACCGGTATTCGATCTTTCTCGACACACTTCGGAATGTGGAGGATCCCTATCTTTGTGCTTGATCTTGTGTTGATTCGCCAGAGTTGCAGCGAACACTGCTGCTAGAACGACCAGCAGAACTCGTCCGATCAAATCGCAGAGATCGATGAGAGAGGAGAGACATCGCCTCATTTTTCCCCCAGTATTATTATCAGCGTCCATAGTCTCCATAAATGTTGAAACTCTTAACCATTATTAATCTTATCATAGTATGGATATATCGTTAATCAACACACCCTCATTAGTTAACCATTGTGCATTAACCTTCCCCATTGATCATATATATCAACAATGATCTAATGGGTAATACCTGAAGCAATATATGGGTGGCTTTCGGTACAACTACTGGTCTAAGGGTTAGCCTGTATTAGGGGTGGGAAACGGTTTGATCCGGTTAAACCGGACCGGATTAACCCGGTTTTTTTGAAGCCGTATTGACCAAAGCTGCAACTGGAAATTGGATTGGATGGAGACCCGGTTTCAACCGTGATCGGACTGGGTTGGATCCGGTCCGGTCCGGTTTCAACCAAAAAACTGGATATTTTCTTTACCTAAAAAACGCCACCGTTTAATCCCTCCTCTCCCAAAACCAAAAAAGCAAGCATCCCCATCCCACAATTGCCAAATCTCTCTCTCCCTCTTCTCAGTCTCTAATTCTCTCCGATAGAGAGTTTCTCCCTCTCACCCACCGACGCAACCATCGCCACCATCCCCGCATCTTCCTAGTCGTCGCAGTCTCCATCGTCGCCATCCCCGAATCATCGTCGCCACCATCGTCGCCATCGCCTCGTCTTCCCTCTCTGTTTCTCTCCCCTTTCACTTGTTCTTGCTTGGTTGTTGTTGCATGTTTCGATCTGGGCAAGATCGAGACTGAGGGTGCAGATAGAAGGCGGTCCCAAATCGGATGGTGAGACTGAGAAGAGAGAGGGACCAGATCAGGTGCGATTGAGATGTCGCCGCCAGTTTTAAAGCCGTTTTGAGATGTCGCCGTCGCCATCGTTTAACCGGGTTGCATGTGCGGAGAGACGCTCCTCAAGGGCTGGGTTGCATGTGCGGAGAGACGCTCCTCAAGGGCTGGGTTGAGATGTCGTCGCCTCCGACTGAGTCTTCATCGGCCAGACACCGATGCGGCCGGAGGAAGAGCAGAGCGAACGAGGATTGGAGAAGAGAGAACGAGAAGAAGAGAGTAAGCGGCGCTGTGGCAGAATGGAGGTGATAGATTTGTTAGGGTTTTGCAGGCTCTGGGCCCTGGGGGTGTTTTGCGGGCTGAGGGATCTGGGCCCGGGGATGTTTTGTGGGCTGTGAGTTGCGGGCTCTGGGCTATTAGACAGTCACCCGGTTTCCGGTTAAAACCGGACCAAATTGGACCGCGACCGGGCCGGTTTTTTACTCATAAGCTCCGACCGCAAACTGGATTGGGTAAGCTACTATCCGGTTTCCGGTTAAAACCGGGACGGTTTAAATTGGACGGTTTCCGGTTTGACCGAAAAACCGGGACCGGATTTCCAGCCCTAGCCTGTATACAATAGCTACAATTGTAGTAGGAATTGCCCTTCCATCCATAGGGTATGCTATTTTCCCTCAGGGCCTGGTTAGTAATTTACTTTATTAGAATCTATCAAAAATGATCCAGAAAAAATTCATCCAAATCGATACTTAATAGACTTAATCATCAGTGAAGATTATCCTCAGGGCGAACCCGTAATCTGTAGCCTTCAAAATCCAAGGAAATTGGTATTTCGAAAAAATCTCCCAAAATTATGAAAATGCCCTCCGAAAAAAATCTGTCCATGATGGTGATTAAAAGACTTTATCATCGGTGGAGAATATCCCCAGACCGAATCTGTTATCTGTAACCTCCAAAATCTAAGTAAAGTGGCTTTTCAAAAATATCATATGGCATATGTTATGTTACCCCGTTGGATCAGCCAAAAATGGCCTCGAAAAATATTCGTCCAAATCGGTGTTTAATAGACTTCATCACCGGTGAAGAATAGCCTCAGGTCGAATCCATGATATGTAGTCTTTCACATCTAAAGAAATATGTCTTTTGAAAAAATTACCCAAAATTTGTAATGGTACCTCTTTACAATCTGCCAAAAATGGCTCCGAAAAAATTCGCCCAAATCGATGTTTGATAGATTAACCATCAGTGAATAATGGCCTCATGCCGAATCCTTGATCAATCTCCTTCAAAATCCAAAGATAATTGTCTTTCGAATAAATCCCCCAAATAATTACGAAAATGCCTCCGGAAAAACTTCGCCCAAATTGCTGCTTAATAAACTTCATTATTGGTCGAGAATAGTCTCAGACCAAATATGTGATCTATAGTCTTCAAAATCTAAAGAAATTGGTCTTTAAAAACAATTACCTGAAATATGTGATGTTACCCCCTTTTGAATTTGCCAAATATGAATTTGGAAAAAATCCGCTAATATCGATGCTTAATAGACTTAATCAATGGTGAAAATTAACCCCATAGCGAATTCGTGATCTATAGTCATCAAAATTAAAGGAAAATGATCTTCTCAAAAAATCACACAAAAGAATACGAAAATGCCCTCTGAAAAATCCTTAAAATCGGAGATTAATAGATTTTATCATCGGCAGAGAATAGCCGTAGGCTAAACACGTGATATGTGGCCTTGAAAATCGAAGGGAAATGGCATTTCAAAAAATCGCTCGAAATATGTTATGGTACGTACCCCTTTGGAATCTTCAAGAAATGGCCCCGAAAAAAATCCACCTAAATCGGTGTTTAATAGACTTATTCATTGGTGAAGAATAGTCTCGGGGCGAATCCGTGATCTATAGCCTTTAAAATCTAAGGTAAATGGTCTTTCGAAAAAATCACACAAAAATTTACCCAAATGCTTTCCGAGAAAAACTTTCGCAAATCGGCGATTAACAGACTTTATCATTGGTGAAGAATAGCCTAACGCCGAATCTATGATCTCTAACCTTCAAAATCTAAAGGAATCGGACTTTCGTAAAAATCGCTTGAAATCTGTGATAGCACTTTAGAATCTGCAAAAAATGGACCGGTAAAAAATCCGCCCAAATTGATGATTAATAGACTTCATCTTTGGTTGAGAATATCCATAGTCCAAATTCGTAATCCGTAACATTCAAAATCCAATGAAATTGCTCTTTCGAAAAAATCGCTCAAATCTGTGATGACACCCCTTTGGAATCTCACAAAAATGGACCAAGAAAAAATATACCAAAATCGGTGCTTAATAGACTTCATCATCGATGGAGAATAGCTTTAGGCCGATTTTTGTGATTTGTAGCCTTCAAAATTCAAAGATAATGGCTATCATAAAAATCACTCAAAAAATTATGAAAATGGCCTTCAAAAATAATCCATCAAATCGGCAATTAGTAGACTTCATCATCGGTGGAGAATAGTGTGATGCCGACTCAGTGATCTATAGGCATCAAAATCAAAGTAAACACTCTTTTTTTAAAAAAAATCAGAAATCTCTTATGGTACCCCTTTCGAATATGCTAAAATGGGATTGGGAAAAATCCATCAAAATAGATGCTTAATAGCCTCAATCATCGGTGAAGAATAGCCTCATGCTGAATGTGTATCTGTAGACTTCAAAATCTAATAAAAATGGTCTTTCAAAAGAATTGCCCATTAAATTACAAAAGATGCCCTCCAATAACAATCTGCCAAAATCGACGAGTAATATACTTCATCATCTGTATATAATAGAGTTAGGCCGAATCCGATCTGTAGCCTTCAAAATCCATGAAAAATGGTCTTTAAAAATTCGTCAGAAATCTATTATGGTACCCATTTGGAATCTGTGAAAGATGGAACAAGAAAAAATTCACGCAATTCGTGATCTGAAGTCTTCAAAATCCAAGGAAACCGGCCTTCTGAAATCTTTGCCAGGTACCTCCTTTGGAATCTAACAAAAATGATCCCAAAAAAATTTGCCTAAATATGTTCTTAATCGACTTATTCATCAGTGATGTATAGCCTCAGGCCAAATCCGTGATCTATAGCCATAAAAATCCAAGGAAAATAGCAATTTGAAAAAATAGCCCAAAAAATTAGGAAAATGCTCTAAAAAACCGTCCAAATATGTGATACTAGATTTTATCATCGACAATGTAGTAAAAAATGCATCTTAAAACGCAAAAAAAAACACATTGTTTACGTTTCGAGCTAGGCAAAACGCTTCAATTTCTATATAAAAATGTATTGTGTGCAAAAACATTCAAAAAGCGGTTAAAATGGTTAGAAATGTCAAAAATGAGTTTCTAGTTGAAAGAGTTTCAACCAATTTCACACCCTCTCTATCCAATATTGTCTCCCAACAAACCAACGATCAGAACATTGATCCTGGACCTTAAGGGCAAATCGACCTGAAACAAATCTTGAACCTATCCTCAAAGTTTGAGGATGATCCAATAGTTGGTTTCTTAGGAATCCTTCCCGGAATGAATTATCCATTATAGGAAAATAGAATCGCACCATGTCTGACCAACAACATTTCTCAATGAACCAAAGATCATAGGGACGATCCGAACGATTATATCCGATCACAGAAAGAATGGAACGCTTCATCGAAATTTGAGGACGGTCCAACATCTTGTGATTTCGATATCCCCTCTTGAACTCACTGCCTTACTACAAAACGAAAATTATGCAACTCCTTATTCCTCTCATCCTTTCCTTATACTTTCTTTCTCAATCCCACAACTCTAATCCCCCCTTAGTTTTCTGGTTCCTTCAAGGTTCTATTGGTTCATAATTTAAAACTCGTCTAAATACTGGGATGACGTCACCGTGATGCGAGCATGACATATGACATGTTCAAGAGGACGAGGATGCTACACCGAAGCTTCATCAAGTGATACTTTGTTTTTTTATGTGCGACTTAAGTAATTAATATTTACTAATAATCTGATTTCTCGTGTTCAATAGATGAAGAACCTCATAATAAAAGAAAACTTTGTAATCCTGTTTAATTTGACATCTAGATTGAAACAAAACAAATGAAGATGTGTAGTTGTTAATTAGTTGTACTTTTTTATGAATGTAGAAGTCTCATTATTTCCTTATTGCATTGTTGGTTAGTTTTAGTTTGCTCCACTATTAACCATGAAATACAATATCATAATCAAACCGTCCAAACTAATACAACAACCAAATTAATTAAACTAAAGTTTAATCGGTTTGGTTAATTGGCTAACCAGAATAATCAATATAATATCACATTATCATTAAGTGAGGAAATCTTCGGTTAATGCATCAATTTGCAATTTATATAATGAATAGAACACAACAATCAACACACAATTATAGTTAATCCTTAGCATAAATAGATGTAACTAATACAATTATCTTACTGTCAGTAGAAGTATTCATGTAACAAAATATATATGTCAATGGTATGAGGTTAATGAATTGTTCTGTTTTGTAAATTGACGTATTCTCTTAGCAATTGCCATAGGTCAAGTTTTCATCCAATATATTTTATGAGTTTTATCTAAAATAAGAGTCCATATGTTGTGGTCTACACTCTACAAATACAAATATACAATATAGGAACAATATTGAATTTTACTTTTTATGAGCCTAAGAGGGAGTAACGTTTGACACTTGAGTGGTTATGCAAAGTATTAAGTAAGTGTGATTGTGTATATAATATTTATGAGATATGACTAATTACTTATCTGGTTAATTTGGTTTGATTGGTTAGGAGTGTTTGAAACCAACCAAACAAGCTAAAATTTTTAACCAAACCAAACCGTTATCCAAATTAACCAAACCTAATTATCCAAATACTACATGTTAAAATGGTTACTACGGTAACCACACTGTTTGACGCCCCTAATATTCATAGTCTGTTATCCAAGCTTTACATGTTTGACCTCCATACCTCCACTTGAAAGGACGTGTTGTGATCATTATTTTTCTTTTATTTATTTTCCGTTTATGTATTGTTTTTCCCCCTCCCTACGAAACATGGATAATGGAGTAGAATTTTATGCTCATCTCCGTTGTATATAAAGCATTCGTCTCTATTGATGGCCGTAAACACATACTACCACTATGAATTTCGACTCACCATGATCTAGTTATTATATATAAAGTTGAAGGCAAATTACTGTTGCCTAAACTACTACATTTTGATATCTCAAATTTAATTAAATTACAACTTAGTCACTATAATGTACATTTTACATTTTGATATCTCAAATTTAATTTTAATGTAAAATCATTGAACAATTATGTTTTGGTATCTAAATTTTATATATAAAATCATTGAACATACGACAAACTCACACCATCTATTTCAAATAGGATTTGTCCCGTGGAGACACGAGCAATCCAACCCGTACGATTTCCTTTTACTCTTCCCATTCTTACTTCTTTAGGTTTCCCGGTACCAGGGAGATCCGCGAGAACTCTTGCCCATATCTTACCATTTCTTCTGAATTGTCCGCTGAAGGAACGAAGTCACTCAGCCAAAGGTTTATCATATGTTCAACCGAAGGGAGAAGGGAAGTTGAAGGCAAGTTACCGTTGCCTAAACTATTTCATTTTCATACCCCAAATTTTATTAAATTACAACTTAGTCACTAGAATGTACATTTTACATTTTGATACCCCATATTTAATTTTAATGTAAAATTATTGAACAATTATGTTTTGGTATCTAAATTTTATAAGATTTTCGTACGAACATTTTTTTTTACTTTTACACATACTGGTCCAATGTTTAGATTTCACTTAAATCCATGAATCCAATCGACCAATCCTTTTGAACAAATCCATAAATCCAATCCACCATAACATAAAAGTATAAATTTAGTTTGTACCATACAAGATGTTGTATCACTCAACTGTAGGAGAAGATTCGACCATTTTATATTTGCTCATTACACGAAACATTAGAAAATAAAATAAAAGTGAGACGATTCTAAAATATTGCAAGAGCAAATTTATAAAATCATTTAGTACATTTACGGGGTACTACTTCTACTAACTACATGTAACAAAATATGCGACATTTGTATAAGCAAGTGTCAATAAATTGCTACGGTGAAAAGGGTTGACTATTGCATTGACGGCCAACTAAAAGAATTAGTCAAAACATTTCCATCATCTACTTCCCCTTCGTTTCATTTTTTACTCGTCTTCCATAAACCTTTCTTTATTTCTTTCTTTGCCTTCTTCGTCTAACCCTAATTAGTATACTATTTTTATGTAATATAATCACAAATATGAACGGGTCCATACACGACTGACCAACAATCTAGAGAATCAATAATTGAACCATGAACCACTAACATTTTCAGCTCAATGTTGAGTCCAATTAAAAACAAATATATATGGCTATTACTTATTAGAAAGTCTTCATTTTTCACTATGGGATTTGAAGGCATGAAATTTTAAGCGAGTTACAGTTTGTATTCCTTTTGCTTCTCACTAGAGTTTTTCGTTTTCACTCGGGCTAGAAGTTTTAACAATTATACATGGAATTTTCAACAATTATACATATCAAATATATATTCTTTCTATTTTCTATAAAAAAGAAAATAATTATCATCTTAAATAGATTATCATAAAAGGAATTAAGCCTCAACTATGCAAATTGCAGTTGGCTACCAAAACTAAACAGATCTTTAGATTGATAACTTAATTTTTTTTTGGCACATAAGTCCTCAAATATTTATGAAGTATTACATTATAGTACCTAAATTTTTTGTGTTTTACATCTTAGTACCATAACTTTTGAAGTTCTATAAATAGGTATAATTTTTGTATGTGTAATTAAAACACCCTCGAATAATTGGGTATCCATACACTACAACAAATTCGACCTATACTAACGAGGCAATATTGTCATATTAGAAGCCATTTTGTCACATTTGACCTACTATGACAAATGCGTTTGTCACAAGGTTTTGTCATTCATATACCCCCCACCAATAGATAGAAACAAATAGGAATAACCAAACCACGTATACAAAATGCCAGTACCATGCAGCTGCTTCAAAGCCAACGTGATGGGTAGCTAAACTTAACAGATCTTTAGATTTATAACCTTTTTTTTTTGCACATAAGTGCTCAAAATATTTATGAAATATTACATTTTAGTACCTACATTTTTTATGTTTTACATCTTAGTACCATAAATTTTGAAATTCTATAAATAGGTATAATTTTTGTATGTGTAATTAAAACACCCTCGAATAAATGGGTATCCATACACTACAACAAATTCGGCCTATACCGACGAGGCAATATTGTCATATTAGAGGCCCATTTTGTCACATTTGACCTACTATGACAAATGCATTTGTCGCAAGGTTTTGTTATTTTATCGCCGTCAGGATAGGTCAAATGTGACAAATTCTTGAAACACATTTGTCACAAATGCTCCCGGTATATATGAGGTTCTGCTTAGTCTATTGTGACAAACAAAGATAATATGACGAAAAATTTTGTCATTATATTTGTCATAAATTGGTACTTTCGAGAAATTTGTTGGTCATATTAGACGATCATAGTTTGTCATAACAGTATTTTGTGACGAATAATATTTGTCATGAGAAGGTTTATTATTTTTTAACAAGCCAAATATGAAAAATCCTTCTTTTGTCAGGAAATGTTTAAAATGTGACAAACTGAAAAGTTTGTCAACATGTTTTGTCATAAATTGAAGGCATTTTACTGGGTTTATATTCTTGCATCACATTCTTGTGACTAATTTATTTTGTCATAAATTATGTTGTGACGAATATCCTTTGTCATAAATGTATGTACGACGAATATATTTTGTCATTTCAGTATATTAGGACGAACGCAATTTGTCATAACGTATAATTGTGACGAGTATATTTCGTCATTTCAGTATGTTATGACGAGTACAGCTGGTCATGGACTTGTCATAATATGAGAACTTTCCATTGTTGTCACATTTGACCTGCTTCACAAATTCCATAATGCGAAATTTTATCCGCAAACTGATCATGGACATATATTGGAAAACATCTAACATATTACATCCATGTCCATTCCCATAACAGTGTACGTCCTTGTTCACCATAAACAAACATTCAAAGTTGTCCAAGATCACATAACACATGAAACTCTCCTTGTTCACCACAACACAAACCATGGACTTAGCAGTTCATTTGCGGGTAATTGGCGAGCAATCACTAGCATTTGATGTTGTAGCTTGTCCTAGGTGGCTTTCATCTGGTTCATCTCCTCTGCTTGAGTATCAAACCTCTCCTCCTAGCTCTGTAACTTTTCTTCCTGAAGTTTTATCTTCTCAGCCTGGCTTTTCAGCTGCTCCTCTTGACTTGTATCTTCTCAGCAAACTCCTTGGCTTTTCTTTTCGCTTCAGCCCTTGTTGCCTCCAATTCTGCTTGGAGTTGAAGCTCCTTTGCTGATCTTGGGTTCGCTTCGGTCCATACTTCAGCTTTTTCTTCAGGACCTTCTCAACAATGTCACGGCCTGATATAGGCTTCCCCTCTGCCTTTGCTTCTATCCAGATGGACTGCATCTCCAACTAGGCATTGAACAACAATGGGTAATGATATATGTCACATGGTTTGGTATGAACTAATCAAAAATGAAACAAGGCACAAAAGGATGAACTCACATAGTTCTTCTGCGGTTCCTCCGATACCCAACTACCGTCAGCCCGCTGATACCTCTTCGCATACAGTAGCAGATCTACTGGCTCCTCCTCTACGGTATCAGTGTCCTCCATATCATTTTCACGCTCTTCTTGAGTAGGCTGTTCCTCCTACTGCTTTTGCTTTGCTTCTTTTTCTTCTCCTACACGAAGCAAGGAAAGTTCCACAATCAGGTAGAGTTAAACCGATGAGGCGAATAATATGAATGTATAAATTAGTCTTTGAATTCGAGAACACTTACCAAATCATATATTCTTTGATCAGGTGATTTTGCATCAGAAGTGTGTGCATACACTTGCTTACTCTTGTTGGCTTTATTTATTTGGCTTCGCTTCTGCATATGGCAAATACAAGTCATTAGCAACCATTTATTGTAAGGCAAGGTAACACATGAAAGAATTGATGATGAAACAGAAGGAGTTACTTACTAGAAAGTTTTCACTCTCAAAGTGATCACACAGCATATGCCAATCATCTATGTTCATGTCCACTGGAGGGTCTGTCCTGGCTGTCTGAGGGTCTTTCAGGTAGTGAGTGTGCATCACATACTTGTAATTGATGAACCACTTCTTCATCTCTTCTCCATAATCTTCCTTGCATCTGCACCTTCCGTGTCTATGTCAAATTGATCCTACATGAAAAAAATTTATATACTTCACTTACCAACAGAAAGTGAAGTTTCCCAAGTCAATTAAAACATAAACCCCAACTTTGCATTCACGAACTAATTATCAACGTAAATGGGTTACAAACTCCAAAACCGCAAAGGAGAAAATAGGGGAGACTTGCCCATGAGGCAACAACAAGCTTTGCTGCCACCAAGCTTTGCTGCCTCGTCTCACTCCCATAACCCAAACTACTGGGAAATATATAATAGGAAATACAGTACGAAAAAAAACAAACAAACAGCAGCGAAAAAAAAACATGTCAAGATTAGCCTACTTCATGCCAAACTAGGAGTTATCGGAAATTACCTCTAGCTTCTTGAATAACGGGTGCTTGTCTGCTTCAGTCAACTTGGACCAGTAGTACTTCCTTATTGGGGCCATCAGGCGTGTTACGACGCCCAACTCTGTCTTCAACAAGCTCTCATTTGGCCCTACGAATGACTGCCCATCCTCCATCACGTAGATTCCATCTATCTTGCCTCCAGTTCCGGTTCTCTTCATTATCTCGTACCCTTTGGACAGTCCCCTCTTTTTAGCCGCAGGGGCTCCTTCCAATCCAGTTGGATTACTACCTTCTCCGGTCTCATGATTGGATGCTTCTTCCTCCGAATCATTGTTGCCATTGGGTTCGTCTGGATTCATAGTGTCTCTGCGTTGAGTATCCTCGTTTACTGAGGCAGCAGTTCGACGTCCAATCGCCCCGCTTACAGATTCGGTGGACCGAGCAGGTTCGGGCCGCACCCTCCCTGATCTTGTCGCCCAATAAAAATTCGGGATCGACACTCCCTTTTCAGTAACAGCCTTCTTCTTCTTCAGTGGCGACATACCTACAACAGAAAGGTGGTTTAATGGTCAAAAAGCAACACACAGTAGGTGCTGACCTCAATTGAAAGCTAACAACGATTACTTGCAAAGACCAACAAAGCAAAACCGAAGGAAAAGAACACCATATATGAGAATGAAGGATAAAACCAGAAGTCATATTCCAGTTACATAAACGTAAATCAACTGAGAAAATCAAAACCAAAAGTTCCAAAAAGAGTCAGAGGAATCAAAAATGGCAACTCTGCATGCAACCTTGTTAAGCTGGTTAGAAATTCAAACCACGAGACTTAGCAGAGGCGGCAACACACGAGGAAGGCAACGCCGATTAGAAATCCAAACCCTAATCGACAAACTACTCACACGAGGCACAAAGGAATGATGGAGGTACCAAACCATAGACGCAAACGGAGCAAAAATTGGAGAATCAAGGGCATCACCATAAATAGAGCATAGCATCGACACAACAAACACTACAAATCGGATAATGCATAGCGCTGCAAACCCGAATGGCGATTCTGAAACCAGCGCCTAACTAAGAAACGGCTCCCCAAAACTAGAGCGACGAGTAGACACTACACAGCAATGAATCGGTCTCAATTTCGCGGGGAAGGTTCAGAGAAAAATCACCATATGAGAGGTAGCGATTGTCGGCAGATTCGAAGAAGAGGGAACTAGGGTTCTCCTTTCGGAAGATACAAAGAAGAGGGAAATAGGGCTTCGCTTACCTCTTTTAAAACGGGCCCGACTAAAAGAATGAAAGGGCTCATATGGGCTCAAACGACATGCCATTTAAACCATGTTTGAACCAAACCTAGTCTTCCTCCTACACAAACACTACAAATCTGCACCAAAAACCCAATCCAACATCAAAATACATTGAACCAGAGACAATCTGGGTTTATGCTTGCTTGGGTTCATATATGAAAACATAAACCCCATTCCCAGACTCCATTAACATCGATAAAACATGAAGGCTAAATTCAATATTCTTCATATCATAAACCCAAAAATCTATAAAAATGAAACTAAGGCCCCAAAAATTTGTTGAAAAACAACTATTGCCACCAAAAAATCGGTACATATCTATGTACCAAAAAAATCTGCAAACATATAAAGGGAGCACCAATTATCTGCTACTGTCCATCCATCCTTATATATATAATGTACTGTTAGGCTTCTTCCTCGTCACTAAAGGATGGATCATTCCCATCTTGGTGTTCAGTTTCATTCGTCGTGAAATGATGGTCATCTAATGTGTCGTCCTCTATCTCCTCATCGCTTGCTTCTACTGCTGCAGCTCGTCCATCAATGGCTCGTGCTGGCTCAATAACGATTGTTGGTGCCTTGTCATCAGGACTTAGATCCGCTAAGTCGCTTTCACTGACATGAAATTCAGAAATGTCCACATCTTGTTGGTATGGCTGATTTTCATACAATGGATCCCCATGTCCCGCTTCCTCCTTCTCGGGAACATCGTACAAACTTCTTGGACATAACTTATGGACGATATGCCATGCACCACCATTCTTAATATTCGCAATGTAGAACACTTGGTTAGCCTAACTGGCTAATACATATGGGTCCTCCGTACACCATTTTCTATCCATGTTTATGCTCGTCAAGTGTCCATCCATCTTTATTCCATTCTTCTTGTCCCCCACATTGAAGCACTCGCACTTGAATACAAAAACCTAATGCCCTCTAGAATATTGCAGATTAATAATGTCTACCAGAACCCCGTAATAATCTATAGTCTCGCCATTGTGGTCAGCCCTAACAACGACACCACAATTTTGAGTTCGATGCCCTTGATCAGCCATTTCTATTTTGTATCGAACTCCGTTAATGATGAGTCCAGGATATCTAGTAATACGTTCATCAGCCCCTAATCCTAGGACATATAAATGGTCAGTCTCTTTAAGTGTGCCAGCCAAAAACTATTCAGACACCTAAAACATAATGAAAGGCTGCTGTGAGTTAGAAAAGAGAAACAAATGGAAATATAAAAAGTGGGCTTCCAAAAATTGATAGACGAAGATGGGTAGCTAGCTGCAATCAATAGATTGTGGTCTTGTGAGTAAGAAAAGAGGAAAAGGAGGGGGGGATTGGGCTTACAAAGGTTTTAAACCAATATGGGAAGTTTTCGACAATGGTTGTTGGGGTACTGTTTGGATAATTCAGCATTCTCTGTTCCGTATGCATACGGTAACCGCAATTGTTAAGCACAAAAGGTATAAAAAAACTATATGAGGTTCAGAGTTACAAAGGAAAAAGAACTTACTTCAATTGTTCTTCAATTTCATCACAATTGGTGAAGACATACCATTGAATCTTATGAAACTCAGCCTGCCCTATAGGGTCGTAGTTTGTAGCACCTATAGATTTACCTTGGTGGCGGAAAACATCAAACCCCTTCAAATCGTCTAACCCATCATCATTTCTGTCTAGCCTACTTGCTCGGGTTTCAACACCTTTAAGATATTTAGAACAGAAATCCAAAGATTCTTTCGCTATATACCTTTCGACAATCGATCCCTCGGCACGGGCATTATTAAAAACATAAGATTTAAGAGTTCCTAAAAACCTAGTTAAACCAAAACCAAGAAAATGTCAGAATACCAAAGTTAGCTACGTTATATAAAAAGTCGTAGAAAAAAATTAATGTGCGTGACTGATCAGTGTGTACCTCTCCATTGGGTACATCCAGCGATACTGCACCGGTCCCCCGAGCTCGATTTCGCGGGGAAGGTGAATAGGCATATGCATCATCACGACGAAAACGCTGGTGGATACAACATTTCCAGGTTTCAAAGTATAACTGGAATGTTATCACTGAGTTTCCTGACAGTGGACTTCGATATCGTTCTTGAACACAACTCACGAAAGAATTCACTAAGTTGAGACAATATATCATATACTTTTTTGCTCAGGAACCCTTGTGCAACAACAGGCAGAAGGCGTTGAATGAAGACATGGTGATCATGGCTTTTCATGCCAGTGATTGACCGACCATCAGTAGTCACACACCGGGATATATTAGATGCATACGCATCTGGGAATTTGATCGACCTCAACCAGTCACAAAATGGCCTTCGTTGTGCGGTTTTTGTGGTGTATAAAGCGGGAGGCATTTTATACTTATCACCGTCTCTCACTAGATGTAGCTCTTTCCTAATATGCATGTCTTCCAAATCACGTCTAGCATTGGCTGTATCTTTGGTCTTACCCTCGATATTTAGTAGCGTAGCTATCACATTCTCACTAATGTTTTTTAAACATGCATAACATCTAAATTATGCCTTAACTCTATAATTTTCCAATATGGCAAACTCCAAAATGAAACTTTGATTTTCCAGTTATGTGCATTATCATCAGAACTTCCCCTTTTCCTTTTCCCACCATCATTCACGACCACATCAGAGAGAAAGGCATTATCAATTTGCTGCAAAAGTTGATCTCCAGACAACACTCTTGGTTTGCCTCTATATTGTTCATGCTTCCCATCCAATTTCCGACTTTTTCTCCACCTATGGTCAGTTGGCAGCCATCTTCGATTCCCCATGTAACACTCTTTATGACTAAAATCCAAACATTCATAGCATGTCTCACTATTACATACAGGACAAGCTAATCTCCCCTTCGTACTCCAGCCCGATAGCATGCCATATGCGGGAAAATCGTTTATTGTCCATAACAACGCAGCATGTAAACGAAATGTTTCGTTGGAGTGTGCGTCATACGTACTGACCCCATCCTCCCATAACTCTCTCAACATTTCTATTAGGGGCTCTAAGTACACATGTACGTTATTACCAGGTGATTTCTCTCCAGGTATAAGAACAACAAGAATAAAATAAGGTTTTGTCATACATTTCCAAGGCGGGAGATTGTACGGTGTTAACACGACATGCCACATGCTATAGCTATTGCTCATGTTCCCAAAAGGATTCAACCCATCACTCAGAAGAGCAAGCCGAACATTCCTAGGGTCTGCTGAAAACCAACTATGTTCCTCATCGAATCGTTTCCAAGTTTTTGCATCTGTCGGATGCCTTAACGTATCATCATCGACACTCAAGTCCTTGTGCCACCTCATGTATTTAGCATCCTCCTTAGTCATGTACAATATTTGAAGCCTATCTTTTAGTGGGAAATACCTAGCTTTCTTTTGGGCTACATTATTTTGTTTCCCAGGTATGTATCTAGACTCATTGCATTTGGAACATGACTTGGCAGATTCTAGAGGACCTCTATAGAGTACACAATGATTTGGGCAGGCATCTATAGTGGTGTAACCGAACCCAAGATCTTCCATGTACCGCTTAACTTCATAGAAGGAAGAAGGAAGTGTCTCACCAACAGGTAAAGCTTTCTTGACTAGGTCCAGATTCATGTTGAATGCTTTGTCAGTACTGTTGGTTACCAGTTTATTGTTCAGCAATTTCATAACGAATGATAATTTAGAAAAGTCTTTGCATTCAAGGTATAATGGCAAATTGGCATCACGGATTAGCTGAGCCAATTTATCATTGAGGTATATTATATTAGAATAATTAGGTGTTGTTGACCCCTCAATGACAAGAGCATTTCCAGAAGAAGCACGCAGCATATCCCCTAACATATCAACCATGTCATCCTCTAAACCCTCAGTCTCGGGCGCAACTGTAGGTTGCCTAGGCTGATGACTAGTACTCCCAAAGTCAAACGGCTCACCATGATGGATCCATGTAGTATATGTCTCCACCATGCCATTCCTGGTTATATCATCTGCTACAATCTCCAACTTCTTGAAGTTTCGATTATTGCACCTTTTACAAGGGCATCTAGTTCTACCTAGCGTATCAACATGTTTGCTGGCAGCCCCTATGAACTCAGAAAACCCCTTTTGATATTCATCACAAAACCTATCCTTAAGCTTAATCCAATTTCTACTCATTCAATCTGTGCGTAAAGAAACTGACCTTCCCTTTATAGGCAGTTGGTCAAGATGGAAGCACAGTGTTAGATGAACTAGAAAGGGATCTGCAGAGGGTATATGACAAAACATTAGGAACCAGTTGACTTAAACGATTTCAAGTGAAACACAAAATTCAAGACTACCATCGAATCTTACCTTTGCTTATTGCTTGGGGCTCCTTCTCTCTATTCTAATTAGCACAACAGGATGGTTGAAGGATCGAAGATATAAGCAGCCCCTGCCACCGAGTCAATGACGAGGAAACACAAGAGCTCATTCAGATAGATAAGCCAACAGAATATTCTTAAGCTAAAGCAGTACACAGTAGCCACGGGAAGGAGGGACGACGCTTACCTATTTCTGCCAAACTTGCGAGTTTGCTATGGGAAACAAGGGAGGGAGAAAGATTATGCTATGGGAACTATTTGCTACAGCGCTGTTGCTACACAAATTTAGGTTGCGGAGGTTGGGGATCTGTATTCTGCGGTGGTGACGGGGGGATTGGTGGAACGGCGACGACGACGGAGTACCCGTCGGTGAGTGGTCGGCCCGATTGGTGGAGGACAGGTAAAGGATCGCGATGATTGGAAAATTGGTGGTGATTTTTATGTGGGGTTCCTTTGGATTTTGATCGACTGCGCAATTTGAAGATACAAGGAAGGAATATAATTGTTTTCTCGAGGGATAGAGGTTTCAGCCTAAAAAAACCAAATATGACGAAATGTCATTGTCACAACACGAAACCACTATATTATGACC